TTCACCTGGGGGGTTTTTTCGTCTCAGTTTTTTGCCTTTCTTTTCCTTCCAGACAACCAGCTGTTCCCTCTGGCTGCCCCTCTCTTAGGGTGTGAGTGGATGAGTGGAGAGTGTGGCCGGACTGCAATCAAAGAAATATTTTGAGAGTCCTTTCAGAGCTCCTTAAGGAATCTGGGCTGGCTATGAATGCATGCTTTATACAGCATTGTTTTGAAGTAGGAGTGAGTCACTAAAAAGCAATCTGCACTCTCTCCATGTTCAACTTTGACTTTATTAAGAAAAAGAGAAAGAAAACAAACACAATCCCATTCACTTCAGAAATACACATTGATCCTTTAATCCTCAGGGAAGCATCGGGAACAGCTTCCTACTTGAAAGAATTGCTGTATTGATGCAACATTTAATTGTGCAATTACACACGCACATTTTCTCCCGTGCTTTGCATGCAGAGCAGGGCTCTGTGGCTGGAATGCTAATCAGAATGTGGCTGATGCTATCTCACTGCACACACAGCCCCAGTACAGCCTCCTGGCCAGCAGCAAGCCTCAGGTTTTGTTACAACCAGAGGTACTTCCACCAAGAACTACTGCACACCTGCTCTGTAGGTGTTCACACATATATGCCCACATTAATGTGTATACATCCACATTTGTTTGGCCAGGACCTCCTTTCCAAGATCTGCATTGGGTATAATGTCCGTCAGGTTTTTCTGACGCTTCTTGTGTGACCTGTTGTGATATCAGGGGCACGCAGCACTTGGTGTGAAGGTGCCATCTGTGGAAAAGGCACATATTTGTCCTGCTGATTTTCCTTGTCCTTTATTTTTGGAGATACTGAAATCAGTCTGAGGGATGCCCTGTGCAATAAAAAGCATAATCACAGAACTGTAGGGGTTGAAAGGGACCTCCATGTATCATCAAGCCCAATCCCCCTGCTTAAATGAGTATCCCACAATAGGTGCTGTTTTACAGTACTTGACAGTAAATGCAAAGGTTGGTTGAGTGACAGAGGGGAGCAAATTCAACCATCTTTTAGCCAACTTCAAACACTAATATTTTTGCTGGGTTTAATCTCTTTACCATGTTTTTATTATTCATGGTTTTGTCATTAATTCTGCTTTCCCACCAACGTTAGGGATGGAGTTTCCAGATGGGAAATCCTACCTGTCATTCTGTCATCAACAGCCACGGGCTACAACACAGGCTTTGAAATACAAGTGCTGCTTTCTTTTCTGGGCTTTGCATGGTGTCTAGGGGCACCTCCAGTCCTCTTCTTTTGGGTTGCTACCTCCATCGAAGTGCTTTTAATGCCACACTGTCTTAACAGTTTTAGAAAAATGGCAAAAGGTGGGGGAGGGAGGAGGGGAGAGGAAAAGCTTTGGTTGTTGAAGAGCATTTGACTGATGTTTCTGCCAAGGAGGTGGTGGAGTCACCATCCATGGAAATGTTCAAGAAATGTGTAGATGTGATACTTAGAGACATGGATCAGTGGGCAATGTTGGTGATATGTGGGCAGTTGGACTAGATGATCTTAGTGGTCTTTTTCCAACCTTAATGATGCTCTATGTTATGGGCTCCTGGTTTCCTGGAACCTCTGCTTGTGTTTTCATCATGTTTCTGAAAGCTTAAAATTAGAGCAAGCTATCAACACAGCGAAAATCAGTCTTTTAATGTAACAGCATTAGCTCTGACTGTGGCCTTCCTTGTTCCTGTTGTTCAGGAAATCTGCTTCTGTTTTTGGCAGGACTCATGCTGGCTCTGTGGCTGATGTGCAGGGACAGAGGGGGAGGCAGGAAGGGGAAGGGGAGAAGTCCCACGGCAGCAGCCTTGTTTATGTGCCTCATTTGTCTTAGTAGTGCCGCCGCTTCCTTTCCTGGCGGAAGTCCCTTTCTGATAAGCCAAACAAGCAAAGAAAGAAGCTGTTGCTCAGAGCTGTCACGGGATGCAGTCTATGCCATCCTCCTGACTATCAACACCTTCTTCCCACCCACCTGCTCAGGGTGCAGCACCACACCCAGCAGTTCCATGGGTGCGAGTTGGGTTTTTTCCCATACACAGAGAAGCGTGCACCACCTCCTTGGGCAGCCTGTTCCAATATTCATCTTTCATTTCTATACCCCTACCTTAAAGCCTGTAAAAAGTACCCTTTGACGGTTGCCTTGCAGCTTTGGTTGGGTTTTCTTTGGTTAGTAACCCCACTGGTTGGTGACACAGCTATGTAGTATGACACAAGTGTAATCATGCAAGGCCAGGGTCTATTCCCAGCTGCAGATCTTCCTTTAGAGAGGCTGTGACTTGGATGGCTCAGAGGTTGCTTTCCCCGTTCTCTTGCCCTGTGCTGCTGGGACCCCCAGTAAGAGCACAGGCAGAACTGACTCCATTCCTGATGGCAATGTGGTGCTCAGGTCTTTGTATTTAAAGCTGACATTTTACCCTTTGTATTGCATAAGAAATGGGCTCTTCAGAGTTTAATAAAGGCACGGAACAGATGCTTCCAAGGGAAGCAAGTTCACGTGTTCCAACAGAAAAATCAGGAAGAAAAAAAAAAGTAATGAATGACCCACTGCATCAATATTGCAGTTTTATGACTGCTGGATTTGTTTAATCTTTCTTAAGCAAGCAAACAAACAAATGAGAGAGGTGGTTTCCAGGACACGGGCACGTTACGTCCAGCCCCAGAGTTTGTCTCTGCCATGTGAGATAAGCTGTGCGAATCTCCCCCCGATACCACCAGGGAATGCTAATAATGCTAGTAGGTGGGCACTTGCAGAATGCTATGGTTATGGAAAGGGATCTTCTTGAATGCTTCAGACTTTCTGGGAAATGTGGTTTTGAGTTCAGTGTTTTGCTGAATTTCCCTGAGTTCAGAGTCTGAGTGTATGGAATTCCATGAATCTATGAAGGCAAGCCTGGGTTGTTCTGAATGTGCAACATTTTGAGGTTCTCCCCTCCCTTTCCTAACAATGAATTTTTGGTCCTTTGCTTTCAGTGAAGTACGTTAATTACATACTGGTTTTATCAGGTGTTCCTTCACTGTTTGCTGGCCCTTGCTGCGGTTCTTCTTGGACCTGAAGAGTAGAATGTGTTTGTGTTGGCATGCGGGAAATAGGGGAAACCTCAGGAGAAAATAGGACTGGAAAGGAAATGTTTTTTCTGTCCAATGAAAGTTTTTGTGATGCATTTTTTCCACATCAGAATAAAACTTGAAATATGGAAGAAAGAAAAAAGAATCCAGCTGGAGCAGTTACTTCTCTTGATTCCTTTTATTTTTTTTCTCTCTTGTTAACAAAGTTTCTTTATGTTGCAATGCAAACTACAAATTCCAGATTCCTTGGATATCTGGATAACTTGGGTCAAAAAGTTGATTTCAGAGGATTGGGAACAGTTCAGTACATAATTTTAAATCAGAAAAGGACAATCTGCTGCATTAAAATTAAAAAATAATGACCCAGTAAATTACTAATTTTGTGGTCCAGGGTAATTAGTGGAACAGCTTGGCAGGTAGAATGCAGCAGGTCTAAATTACTGCTCTAAGTCCATTAGCAGGAAGATATTATCTACCTTTGTTGCTACTAACAGGAATACGTATATATACATACATATATATATATTTGCCCTTTGATGCTTTTCTTAGTTGTTTGCATCTCAATCCTTGGTTGTCTCCATAACGCTCCAGAAATTATTCACAGTGCAGTTTTCCTAGCACAGGGGAAACTTGAGGCTTTTACAATTAGTGCTGCTGGCTATTCCATGGAAAACATACACCATGGTCTGACAAGGAAAGCAGCAGTAAAAAGCCACATGATGGCTGATGTCTGCCAGCAGGTGCATGGAAAGCAGTGGTTCCCATCTTGCAGGTCTCTTTTGTGTCCCATTTGATGAGGTGATGGCACATTCACCTCCAAGTGAACGGAGGCATCTCCCTATCCACACATTGCTTTGCTAAGGGCCAAAGTGCAATGGTCATATCGTCTTGTCCCCTTTGTGACATTGGCCTATTTCAGCTGGGAATTTCCACCCCAAATCTGTACCGTGCAATAGGCTTTAAGCATACATTTTGCAAAGAAATCCCCTTTGACTTTCAGGATCAACATGATAGGAATTACTGCTAATGAGCTGGTTTGCTTAGTGGGTGGTTGCTCTTGTTGTAAAACACAAAGGATAGTTTTCCTTCAGTTTTCAACTTGAGTTTCCTGAGATTCAGTCTTGCAACCCTAGACTTTGTTCCAGCTCTGTTTGCTGGACTTAAAGTCATCAGAGTCTAAAATCTTCCCATGAGCCCTTAAAGTCCAGGAGGAGTCGCTTCCTAATCTCCTCTTTTAAGAGGATGGTGATAATTGAGGACTTCTTATTGACTCTGTTGACCTTTGCCTACTTTGTGTTTGGGTTTTATTAGATAACTTGCAATTGTTCTTTTTCATCATTATTACACTACTGTTAATAATTGTTAACTGGATCTACATCTAAGGATGTGGCCCACGTTGGTCAAAGAGCAAAAGTTTGGGCCTCTGATGGACAGATGAAATGTTGTTGATACGGTCTAAAGCACCTTCAGAGAAAAGAAAACACATCAATCCCTGTGCTACTTACTCACCTCTTCAGAAAGTTTTGTAAATCATGTTTGACATTTTTAGTGATTTCTTTTCAAGTGGTGATGTATCTCTGCTGTTTTCAGGTCTGCTTGTATGCTGGGCTGTATTCCACCATCTGTGATGGTCCTGAGCACTTCCTTCACTCCTGAACTTCATTTGATTTCACTGAGAAGTTGCAAGCAGTGAGATAATACTGAATGAAATTGGGATTAGATGGGTAATTAGATGGATCCTCACAGGTACTTCATCTGCATGTGCGATCTTTTATAGCCTTACATATCGCAGCTTCAAGGGAGTTGTTCCTCATCTAACACAGCCAATTGCTCTAGACTTTGCAGGATGGAGGAGCATTTGTCTTCTGTTTATTATGACTTCTTTCTTACCTGTATTATTTTTTTTCTTTTTGCAGCGTTTTTGTTCCCATGTATTTGGGGCTGGTGGGAAGTCTCATAAATACCATTATATCAATAGTTTGGATCCCCTCTCCAGCTAAGCCGAAGTCAGAACAACGTAAGACAGAAAACAGTAAGTATTTAGTTATCTTATTAAATAGCACATGAATAGTGCTGGCAGCTGGAATGCTCTGATAAAGGGTTTGGGATTGTGTTTATGGACAGAAAGGTGCCCCTCTTTGCTCACAGTGCCTCATCCTCTTAATGCTTGTGAGAAAGTACTTCCCAGGAGAGGAGTTCGAGTCAGATGAGAAGGATTTAGGAATGCTGAGGATGCAGTCATCTAATTCATTTTGCATATGGACTGTCCACAGTTTCAGCTCAGTTTTCTGAGCCCAAAGCTTTAACTGCCAAATTCAGTCCCACAGTAGAATTAACTCTTGCACTGTTATCTACACACTCATACCATTCCTATTAGGATTCGCCCTTCCCAGAAAGCATCACATGGAGAACCATTGCCTGCTGTGTAGAACACTGTTATTACAAGCAACAAGTACTCACCACGATGGGGAGAGTTTCTTGTTCCCTACCTCTAACCTATTTATACATAACATTATTCGATATGTTATCTTCTGTAGGCAGTGTATTCAGCGTCAGAGAAATCCTACGCGTGATGAAGTTTCCGGGAGTAATGGAAATCTTCTTAGTCAAGGTCCTTTCTGGACTTCCCATAGGTAAATCTCACTCTTTACCATGGTTGCTGATGTATTTATAATAAGAAGACATACACTGGAGACTGGGCTAGTCTGAAGTTACTGAAACCACACTGTGTGTAATCATGGAGAAGTGGGGATTTGGCTCGTACCTCAACACTTGTACTTCCAGATGCTCTCAGCTACACAGAGTCAAAAATCTGGAATTAATGTAAAACAGACCACTAGTCACAGGCTGCTTTTGTGACTTTTGGCATATCACTTAATTGCTCTGCCTGGTCCCATGGCTGTAAAAGGATAGTTCTATTCTCTGTCATTTCTGTTTAGGCTGGAACCTCTTCAGAGCAGAGGCAAGTTGAATGTACCCTGTCAAAAACACTGATGTCCCTCTTGATTTTAGTTAATGATTATAAGGGGAGGGAAGGATGCATAGCCTAACTTTTTCCCAACAATTTAAAGCTATAGCTGGACAAGATGTGGTCAGACGGGTTTTTAATTTCTGCTGTGCACAAGGGAGCCACTTGCTTTTATTTCTTCCTTTGCTTGATGGTGGTAGTGCTTGTTCTTCTCTGTGAATATTCTTCTGATTTTTCTCATGTCGTGGTCATAATGCACTGCTTCAGACATACCCCAAACCCACCTGTCCCCCTGCTCCTGTTGAATCATTCACAGTCTTGACATGTTCCATTGTGTAGCACAGACCCAATGCTCCGTTAGGTAGGTGGGATGGTTGCCCTAGATGATGATAGAGGTAGTTTTCCAACCTTGATGATTCTAAGATTCTGTGATCAAGTTGTGGTTTGTAAACTGTAAATTCAATTTACAAATGAAGGTAGATTTGACTAAAGGGAGTGGCTGAATGAGATGGGGATGTCGTTTCTGGCCATGACCAGGTTCTTCTAACATCTTGCCAAGACTGACTGGAGCTGTAGAATAACATGAAAGGAAGAAAAGTGTTTCTGATTTTTTTTCTTTTGTTTTAGTGCATACTTGGCATTGGCTGAGATCAATGATGCCAGCTGGTCCTGCTCCCACCACTAGAGAGAGAACAGGCACCTCTATGGACGGGTGGCTTGCCCAAAGTGTGCATCTCTTAGATTCTTATGAAACCTTTAAAACCGTGTTTTAAATGTTTATAAAATGGCAGCATTTCATAGAACGAGATAGCCAAGTGATGTTTTAACAGGGTTTTCTTTTCCAATTCTGGCTCATTTCTCAGCTTAAAGCTCTTCCCTGTTTAGAAACACCATACTGAGACCACATCCATTTGTAATCTGCACTGTAATTTCCTGTGCACTGTCCTTTTTCCAACAGGTGGGTGAGATGCACCCTGGTTTAGTCATTGCTGCTGAAATACAGATGCTTCTTTGTTGCAGAAGACATTCTTCTTTTCCCATGCACAGCAAAAATGAACACCAGACCAAAATAAACATCTCCTGCCCCAACTGCAAGGGAACATGTAGGCAAACAGGATGGAATGTAAGGCTGAGATTCAGGGCAGGACATGGGCTACTTGCTACTGAAATGGGTGGGAATAACTCATGACGAGCAGGAATGAGTTTAGTGGAGGCATTCCTGCTACAAGCAGAATGGAATGCCTAGAAGTGATTACAATCCCAGGCACTTCTGTTCACAGGACTCTCTTCGGGTCGCTGACCCATAGGATTGCATCTAGAAGAGGATTTGGACATCCCTTCCTCCTTTGCAACTTATGGCTGGAGGCTGAGCTCCTACTGGTCTCATTCACCTTTCATCTCCCTTCTGCAACTGTGTAATTAATTAGACCAGCCAAATTACAGACCTCTCTTTATTTACCTTGTAAACAAGTGCGTGATATACACAGAGGAGAATCTCCTGTTCCATACAGATCTCATTGTTGTCCAAAATGAGTATGTTTGAGACAGAAAGAGCCTACCCAAGAGGGTAGCAGGGTTGGGAACCTCCTCCCTGGTTTGCATCAAAGCACAGATGGCTCCATGCTCCTGCTGGAAGCTGAGCTGCCACGGAATGGAGGGGCAGTAGGGGTCTCCAGCATGGCTGATTTGCCTGCTCAATAATGTGAGTGTCATGGCCTTGCAGTAGATAGTAGACTGAAAGCCAAACATGAGGGCAGAAATGTCAAACAGCCCTTGGTGCTTGGAGATCACTAGAGCTTTGAAAATACTGATAATAGCTTCTTGTAGGAATCTACGGGCTTGAAAAAACCTGCTCCCTTCTCACAGTGGCTACCTCTGCAGACCACCCCCTACCCTGCTACTGAAACTTTGCCATATACAGCCTCCCAAAGCCGCTGCTTGCTGTCTCTTTGGTGCTCTTCCTGCCTTTTACTGCATCTTACAAAACATTTTCCTGCCTCATGCTGCATGCCCATTATTATTTGCTGCTCGGTGCAAGGTTTTGTGAAGGGTTCACTCGTGGTGCGGGCATACCCAGGAAGGTGAAGTTCTGAGATCCTGTGAGTCACTGAAAGAAGAGGGAACAAGGAGGGTCTGCTTTGCCCAGGCACTTGTATGGGCATAGGGTAGCTCCCATCTGAGGGATGTTTGCATCCTGAGGTAGCCATGAAACTGAAACATAGAATCATTAAGGATGGAAAAGACCACTAAGAAAGATCATCTAGTCCATCAACCCATCATCACCGTACCACTAAACCATGTCCCTCAGTGCAATGTGCAATGCCTTTGAAGGAGCACAGCTACCTTCCTGCGCAGAAAGAAATGAGCTCCTTTGCAGCACAAAGATCAAAACCTAAGCTGGGTGAAGGACTTCAAAAGAGCTTAGCTGCAAGAGCTGCAAGCAGCATGGCACTGGGAAAAGGCAGCAATGTAGGAAGGCTGAGTCCTGCCGGGTGGTAGCGCAGTGAGGCTGCTGGGTGAAAGGAGATGCACCCTGATCTGATCTCCCTGTGAGTAAAGCCAAGTGTGGTTTTTCTTTCATTTCTTCACGTGTGTCTTTTATAAACATCTGCAGCTCTGTTGTCTGTTTTGGATGTGAGGAGAAAACGCTGCTGTTTGCATGTTACCCTAACCTGGTTTGAGCTAGGAGGCGTTTCAAAGCAACAGGATAACAGCGGGCGCTCCCCGCAGAGTGCTGCGACTGAGCCAAAAATCTTCACAAGCATCAGGCATACCAGCACCTTCCCCAGACCAACGGGAAGCAGCAGGGTGAGGTGCTTTTCATTTTGCCCAGCACCAGCTGGGTGAGGAAAGGAGCCCCAGAAACCTGCTGGACGTGGGACAGTTGGGCCAATCAGTTTGGGTGCACATCCTTCCATCCAAAGGCAGATTTTGGGCAGGTCAGTTGAGGATACTGCAGAAATGACCATTTCCCCATCATCTCACCCACTCCTGAAGCCTTCAGTGTGAGTTTTATCTTTTGTAGAATTTCACTGAAAAAGTGCATTTCCTGTCCAAATGGTGCATATATGGAAAACGGGTTGCATTTTCTGCCCGCAATGGGTGGATGTGGTTGTGCTTGGGGTGAATGAAACACACTGTAGTCAGCAATTGGAGATGGCTCTCCCCACACTTCCAGGAAATGCGGGTGAGAGCCTTCCTGTTCTGCGGGCTAGTGACTCACCTAGCCAGGCCACAGGCTGCTCTCAGTCCTCACTCCTTTCCTCCTGTGCTCTTCTGTCGTTACAGAGAGGACTGCAGCTCCCAGCTCACCAGGTCTGTGCACCTCGGTGGGCCCTACAAAGCAAGGCAGGAGCAGACCCCTGCGGGTCATTGGCTCTTTCCTCCTCTCCCAGCAGCACTGGGATGCCGACACACACAGTCCAATTTCCTGCTGTCTGTCCACCTGAAATGTGTTGACAGAGGCAGCAAGTGCATACTGCGAGCCCGTTCTTTAGTGATGCTTTGTCCCAACAGTGGGAGTGGTGGGGATGGGTAGATGGCTGGACGAGGTGATCTTAGTGGTCTTTTCCAAACCTTACGATTCTATGAATGTTTTTGATTTGGTGGCAATTTGTGTATAATGGAGTACACATACACATCTCTATGTTTGTGTATATTAGGTGCCGTGGGAAATGCACACAATAGCATTTTTAGGTAAGACTGAGTGGGCATTTTCCACAGCGCCCTCCAGAAACTGCCTTAATAGACCAGCACACCTCATGCCTGCTGTTCCTGTCCGTACTTCCCCAATTGTTTCTGTTGACACCACTCTCAAGCCATGGGAGTTTTCACGTGGGGCTGAAATTGCTGCTGGGGTGTGCAGTGAAACCTTTTTGTTTAGTCTGATGTCACCGGCTTGTTTCCCAGGCAGCGTTCCCAATGGTGGAAAGCTAAAGTTAGGCAAAAGGGAGGAGGAATCCAATCAGATTATTCTATGGTTACAGTCTTGTCTGAACAAATGTTTTCTTGCTGCCTTAATACTTAGTCTGCCGTGGGTGATAAAAATATTTACTAGTTTATTATAAACAGCTGAACCTACAGCCTACATAGTCACATTATTTCAAGATGAAAGTAAAGGGGATAAAAAAGTGAACATTTAAAGACTAAATTGCTCTACTGGCTTTGAGTAGGATTCTGCTCCTATTTATATCCAGTGCCTATAAACCCAGGGAGAGCTCCTGACTCACGCTGGGAGCAGAGGTTGGGCCAGTGCAGTGCTGAGGGCATACTGAAGTGTACTTCTCATTAACCCTCCCTCTAGGTTTGTTCCTGATTATGTTTTCCATCATCTCAATTGAGTTCTTTGGGTTGGAAGCAGTGGAGTCTGGATACCTGATGTCATATTTCGGTGTCCTTCAGATGGTAAGTGAAGTGCCATACTGCTGTCTGATGTGTACCTTGCCACATTTTTGCACATATTCTCCCAAATCCAGGCATAGTATTGACACACAGATCATAAATACACTCATAGCTCTGCTATGTGTAATTCAGCTTCAAAAAATTAAAGTGCCTCCAAATTTATTCTGTTCCTTGGAATGGAAAGCAAGTAGAGTGAGCAATGTCTTGGAGACCTTTCCCCTTGTCACTTCTTGTGGATCTTTAAGCTTTGGAGCCAAGATTTCCAATGACTGGCATGTCATCCTGGTTTATGCAACAAAACTTACACTGAAGCTAACAGGCCTCAATTACAAGGTTTTCAGTTCTGTAGGTTAGCTCATTTACATTTGCTTAGTAGCACCTGTGAATTTGTGTAGGTAGGTAGGTGCATTTACTGGCATTTTGCAGATGCCCTCAGTGTAGAGGAAGGACTCGTTCCTTCTGTGGAGAACTGTGGGGAAACTAGTGCAGCAAGCTTGTACTTTCAAAAAAAACAAACAACAAAAAAAAGAAGATGGGCCATGGAACACAGTTAGGAGACTGGCAAAATGGACAAGAGTGAAAAGTTAGTTGAATTATGTCATAGCACAGCCAAAAATAATGGTGATAGTGCAGCCCAAAATAATGGTGCTGTGTTATTTGGAGAAAGAGGCTAATAATTCTGCAGGAAGAGCAACAGATGGCTATAACGGAAGGCAGGAATGCAAGGCAAGCAATATCCTGAAGGAGGGTGGTCTTGTTAGAATGCTTTGCTTTCCTGGGCAGTGCCGCAGAGTTCCTGTGTGATTCAGAGGATTTCCCCATCTGTGAAATAGCAATTTTAGTCCCTTGTGATCTGGATCTGGCACTGTGTTGGTCTCACACCCTAGCAGAGCAGCCAATAGGCATGGTTGTGCATCCATGAGTGGGGTCAAACCTCTGGATCTGGGCAACCTTCTCTGTTGCTGCTCTGGGAGGGGGATGTTTGGTGGTCTGTGCCTCAGTCTCACGTGCTTCACACTTGCTGTCATTTGCATTGGGAAGGAAACCAGTTTTGCTGCTGCCAGTGAGGTGATGAGCAGCTGCTTCCCATAGCACGCATCTGGCCCAAATATGAGGTCTCATGGAGGCCTGCTCTACATTAGTCTTCATGTGCCACCTCCTAGACCAGGATCTCTAGGATGCATTCAAGCCTTGGAGTTGTCCTCTGAAGTCTTTTTCCCCCTCTGAATGTAGAGAGCACTTTAAGAACTCTTTATGTAGATATACCAGTTGAATCTGATGGTTGGACTAGATGATCTTAAAGGTCTTTTCCAACCTTAGTGATTCTCTGATCCCTACGATATATGTCTGCATGAAAATCACATTGGGGATTTCTGCATGGTTATGTTGTTGTTGTTTCAAGCTGGGTATCACGGGTGATTATAGCAACAAAGGTGAAATGATCCTTGTGCAACCTGGAAGGGACAGCTTTATGTTGATCGATAGAGCCAGAATGGTGCCGCTGGGTCTGGGATTTCTGTCTGTCTTCGTGCTGCTGTTTCCCAGCTTTGTTTGGTTGAAACTGCTGTAGATAAGGTTACCTGGCGTGCTGCGCCAATGAGCCCTACAAATGGACACGGTCCTGGAAGGCCGCCTTCACTTTTCTCCCTAGCAAGTAATCAGATGTCAGTGCAAGCCAGGGACTTGGCCCTTCCCACAGTTCCAGGAGTTGGGTTTCATCCCATAGTGCCAACCATACCATAGCCACGCTATGTGATCCAGCAGTGCCTCCAGACTCAGGTGCAGTATCTGCTTCACTGGGGAGGCTTTGCCCCAGGTGTTTGGCACAGAAATTGGCTGCTGTCAGCCAGGCAGCTCACTTTCATCTTGCCATGCAGTTTCTGTCCATTCTGTTCAATAGCATGTGGCTCTGGACTTCAGAAATGCAGGAGTGAAGCAGTTGTAAGTTACAAAGGAAATTCACTTTTTCAGGGTGGTGCTTTGAGGTTTGTAGTCCAGGCATAGGTTTGTGTCCTGACTTTCTGATCAGGGCTCTGGTTGGAACAGCCTGCCTCAAAGGCAGTGGCTGAGCTGATGTTTTAGGGGTGCTTTCTGCTACGACCACACTGGTGGGAGGTGCATGCAGGAGATGTACTGCAGTGGCTCTGTCCCACCCCAGGGCTGCAGCCTCTATCGCTCCTCAGTTGGCCTTTCAGGTGTGTTTGTCTCTGTTGTGCAGCACACTGATACTGCAGGAGATAAAAATGCAGATTAGGGTGCAAGCAAATTCCACCCGACAAGGTGGGTGAATGTGATTAGTATCTGCTGACTGGCTTCCCCACTTCGCTTGCTAAATTATAGCTTTATTCATAACAAATATAATGTTCTTTTCAATGCATTTCATCAAGCTGATCCTCAGCTCTGATTTCTCATTCCTCAGTTTGCCTTTCTGTAGAATATTGCAGGAGGTTTTCTCCAGATTGCTCTGAGCCCCTTCTCATTTGCCCCCTTCCTCCTGCAGCTGGAAATGGGCCACATCTGAGGGCCTTTAAAGATAGGTGTGGCTGTTGGAGAAGTGAAAAGGGGAAATAAAGAGTGAGCTGCATCCTGTTTACACCAAACATCCCTGTGGACATTGAACGCAGCACCCAGATCTGGTCTGCAGGGCAGGAGGGCATAGTCACAGCCTCCTGCTCTCAGCACATGCCACCAAGGGGCTCAAGAGCTGCACAGGTTTCATAGAATCATAGTATCATAGACCACCGAGATCATCCAGTCCAATCCCAACCCATTCCCACCATTCCCATTGAGCCATGTCCCTAAGGGTCACATCTCCACGTTTTTTTAACATCTCCAGGGACAGTGATTCCTGCTTTCCTCTCCTGCCCTGGGGGTGTTACACTCCAATTGCTTAACCTAATTTTTCAACTTCTCAGCCTCATTTAACCTACTGTAGTGAGAGGCAGCCAACGCATCGCCAGCATTTGAGTTTCTCACCCTTCAAGCCAACTGCAGAGAGCCTAGAGAGCAGATGTGGAATCGCACTGAGTCAGCCTGTCTACCTTCAGATAGGCAACCCAAGAACTTTGCCGTGGGTATCCCAAGGTCCTTGTTGTGTAGGGGGATCAGCACAGAAGCAGTTGCCCTTTGGAAGGTGAGGGCTTTGTCTTCTGTGCAGATGGAGGACATCTGTGAGCATCTCACTTCCAAAAGGTGGTCTGGGGGACCTGAGTGGCCCAAGCTTATGCATCTATTTAACGATTACCTGGGAGAAACCATCAGCTGCACCTATTTGCAGTTAGGCAAAGAGCATCTTCTGATAGCAGAGGATATGGGACAGGCTGGGAGCAACCCGGGGAAGGGAAGGTTGGATGGTGCTGGAGAAGCAGAAAGCAGAGAGGGTGAATCACACTCTGCACCCCAACAGTGTGTAGCTGGCTGTGGGCAGGAGGAGATTTCTCATGGGAAACAATGAAATGAGGATGGAAGGTAGGGAGTAGGAGGAGTGCAGTGCCTTGCTCTGCAGAAATCCCCTTTGCTTGTGATATGTTTGAAGCAGTTTTGTCTGTTCACCAGAGGGTCTCCAGTGAGAGGTCTGAGAGCCCATCAGGGATGTAGTGCCTTTTGTCCTCCAGAGCTGTGATCCCAGGGCCTGTGCGGACAAAATCTCCCTCTTATTGAGTGCCTAGGGGGAGTGTGGGATGTCATTCATTTTTCCTCCAGAGAATGATTAATTTCATAATCACGTAACATTTAAAATAACTGCATAATAGCCAGAAGCCGACCTAAGCTCCATCTTTTCTTGGAGTTGGGAACGCAATGGCATGGAGGACTTCCAGATGTAGTACTTGTGTTTGGGAAAAGCTGCCAGAGGATTAGGCAAGGGGAATACCTGCAGTCCCTGGTTAGAATATGAAGTCACATCTGATGCTCAGATTTCCAGGCATGGACAGGAGGAACTTTCCTTTAAGGATTTTTTTTTTCGTAAAGCACACAAAACAAAAACTGAAGGTGGGACAAAGGGGTAGGTGTTTATTACCCTGAGGACCGAGAAATCATAAGACATCTGTTCTGTTTACTGAGCTTAATAGGCATTGTTGTACAAACCCCACCTCCAGCCATGCAGCTTCTGGAGGGACAAGTTTGTACCAAGCGATTCTGGAAAGATGAGAGAGATTCCTGGAGGAGAGATTTACATTGCCTATCATCTTATCACCAGCCTGTCCCTCTTGCTTTTTTATTTCTCTCTGCAGCAAGAGGGATGATTAAAGAGTTAGGGATTTAATTACAGCCAGATTCGCCTGGGGGGAAAACCCACTCGGTGAAAGGACCTTGCAACAACAAACAGAAAGTTCTCCAGTTTCCTTGCTTTGAAGGATTTAGATGTGTGCAGGGGGGTGGAGGTGGGGAGAAGGCAGGCGATTAGGCTGCAGTTTGCAAAACACACGCTGCCTCTGCCCTGTGAGGCCAAGTGCTGGCTCAGCAGTTCGGCCCTCCCCATCTACTCTCCTTGCAGCCCAAACACCTTCAGTTCTTGTAAGGCGTGAATGACTTCTCATGTTCTTTCTGGCATTGCAGTCTCCATAAAATAACCTCCTCCTTCTTCCACCCAGACCAGCGCATGGTTTTGTAACCCTTTCAGCCCAGCAGGACAGGTCCCCACTGTTTGGTGCCCACTCAGGTCTTCCCCAACCTGTACCCAACTGTGGTTCTGCCATCCAGCACCACTTTGGCCCTGGGAACTTCTAGGCTGGAAATAGAGGTCTTGTTGCTGGGCTCTGCCCTCTACTTTTTTCAGTGAGCGCTTCTGAAAGAGTCTGTAGGAACAGTCTCCTGTCCCTTGACCAGAGGTGAATGTGGAGGACCAGCCAGACATCTGCTGGGCTTGACGGGACAAGGGGAAATGGTTTCAAACTAAAGGAGGAACGATTTAGACTGGATGTAAGGACGTTTTTAACAATAAGGGCAGTGAGATACTGTCAACCACTGGTTGCCCAGAGAAATAGTGGATGTCCCATCCCTGGGGACATGCAAACTCAGGCTGGAGAGGGCTCTGAGCACCTGATCTAGTGTAGGTGTCCCTGTTAATTGCAGAGGAGTTTGACTAGATAGTTTGTAGGGTCCCTCCCCATTCAAATGATTTTATGATTCTATGGACTTAAATTTTTTCTACATAACTACCTGGGGATGAATGCTGGTCCCATGCAGCAGGGAAACTGCTCTGCTGAAAGGTCTGTCAAAAACTAACACCTCAAACTTTCAAACAGCAAAAACCTCCTCCACTCTGTAAGGGACTGAGGAGAGTTGTTGCTGATATCAGCACATTGGCTCTCCCAGGTGAAGAGGAGCTCTATTGGATGAGGTGATAGCAGAGGTAGTTTTCTACATGAGCATCTGACCTAGTCTAGTGGAAGGAATCACTAGGGCTAAGCCAGCAGAAAGACAAGGAGATTTGGCTGTTCTGCATTCATCAGGAGAACTTATTTGCCTTGACAGAAGGAGAAGGGGAAAAAATATGTTGGTTTTTCCTGCGACATGTGTACACAGCCACGGGCAGTGCCTGTTATTTCACTTGCAAACAATTTCCTCTCCTTTTTGTTTATTGATGACAGAACACATTCCAGCCAGGTACACCATCTCTGCCCGGCACTTCAAAGGAGGTCAGGTTACAAAGCAAGCACCATCCCTGCGATTAACTGCAGTAGGGACAGCCTGTGGGAGCCCAAGTGGAGGCTGCAAGCAAGGAAAAAACCCAGAACTCTCTCCAGCATCCCCACTTTTCTAGGTTTTTCTTCCTCTTCATCTTTCTCTACAGGTTTAGGGAACTTATTTGGTTGGACTAGGTGATCTTAGTGATCTTTTCCAGCCCTGATTCCATGATTCTGTAATTCTATACATGGGTCAGGAAAGATCTCTGCTGGAGGTGATGGGTTTTCAGATCTCATTTCTGGGGCTGGAAACGTTTCCTGAGCGCCCAGCAACCAGAACTATTTCCAGCATCTAAATTCAGATGCAGGTAAATAGAGTCCAAACTCAGTGTGATGGGTCTTTGTGGCTTATGGATACATTGGCAGTATAACCACACTGGGAATGGGCAGCAAAAGCTGAGGGGGCCCAGTAAGCATTCGGGAGGCTGGGGTCCATATTGCCCAAGGATGGTTGTGTGGCCTGAAAGCAAGTGACGTGGGCTGATGCATGCCGCTCCCATGGTGATCCGAATAGGCTTCCCTTGATGATATACTCTGTGACTCAAGGACGGGCAGGGCCCAGGCTGCACCTCATGGTGAATCCCAGTTAAATGTACCGTTCAAGCCCAGGCAAATTGAGAAACCTTCCCTCTGGAGATGCAGAGCCAAGCCACGTTTGGGTGATGCCACCGCCAAGCGGAGTCACGCTGAGGGCGGGCTGTGCCCCATCCTGTGACTTGGTGTAGCCTGGGCAGGAGGGACTGAGAGGCTGCAAGATGTTAATGATGCTGCTTCGTTTGTGAGTTCTCAGCTTAATGAAGCGTGACTCAGCACCTCCTCCACCCACCTGAATCGAGTAGGAGCCACCAGGGCTGGCATACTCTTCCTCCCACCTGGCCCATGTCCATGGCAGGGCATGCGTCCCACATGAATCAGGTCACCCCATCCATGTCCCAGCCTCACAATGTACAGTCCCCAAGCATAGCAGGTGGGTGGCACAGCCTGGGAGAGCCATGTGGGCCTCGTGCCACTGTCACACACATGAGCTGAGCTCCTCAGCCCTGCCCAAGGGTGGAACAGGGAACAGCAGGAAAAGCATGTTCTGGGAACCCAAATTTCTGCATGGCAGATGTGTCCTCGTGTCAAAATTTGCTTGTGTTCTGAGGGAAAACTAAGGGGTTCGTTGTGAGATTTTTCATTAAGTTGTAGCTTGTGGAAGAAATATTCAAATGGTACCTATTGCTCTTTAAGTCAACTTTATTATATTTTCACTCTGTTGCTATTTGCTTTTTACCATTTTTCTTGTTTTAGTATTTATACTCTGTTTTCTTTTTTCTTCCGGACAGTTAGCCATAAATTAACATTTCTTTTTAATAACTTCCTTCCTTATTTATTTTGCACCAGTTTCCCTTTGGTGGATTTTGGGTTCCTCCCTTAGGATTAACACAGTAAGACTGAGTGTGGCATAGTAGTGGTCCAAGTCAAATCTGAGCACCAAGTTTTTCTTTAGGCTGCTCTCCAAAGCTATGTAAAAGACAAATACTCCTTGGGATTTACATTTTTACTCCTCCTTTCCACCTCCTCTCCCCTGGTTTTTGCTTAAAATCTGCAAAACCAGTTCCCCATCTCTTGTGCCTGCTTGCATTGCTGCGTCTGGATATTAGCATCTCTGTAATTCTTGTTTCCTGTATAAAATGATGAACTGCTCAATTTGTGTAGTTACAGTGTAAAATAATGGCAAGAGAAGGTCCAGGAGAGGAGGTGTTCTCCTCTGCCTACAGTAGTGTGGTTCTGCTTTGGAAGATCTCACCAAGTGATTTCACAAGGAAAATCTCAAGTTAAAAAATTCAGTTTTATCAACAGGTGCCTTTAAGTAGTTTCAGTCAACACTGTTGATTGAGCAGTGACGAAAAGCTCATGCAAGCATCACTCAGTAGAGAGATCATCATCTGACTTATCACTAAGATATAAAATGTTCAAAATCATGGTGAATGTCTTCAAGTCATTAAATGCAACAGTAAAGTCCCTTTTTCTCTTCCCAGGAAAGCAAGGAAACAATGCATTTTCTCTTTTTTATTTGCACTCTTAGCTTGTTTCCATCAATATAAGCAGGACTGACGCTGCCTATGCGCTTCTTCCTCAGGTTGTCCAAGGCCTAGTGATTGGAAAACTCACAAGCCTTTGCACGGAGCAGACCCTGCTCAAGCTTAGCATCTTCATCTTCGCTGGCGTGGGGCTGGGCATGGTAAGATTTGCTGAGAAGTCATCCAAGGAGCATTCCTCCATCATGGTTTGCAGGTGGGCAAAGAGCCTACTTGTCACTGGCAGTGCCACCATGGCTTTGCCAAGCTGTGCTTGGGGGGAGCCGGCCGAGCTGGGCCTCTGCAAACACACAGCATTTGACAACGATAAGGAGCTGTGTGAGTAATAGCTGCAGGGATTACAGAGCAATAATCCCGCACAGAAACCCATGCATCCGTCCTGAGTCACTGGATTTGCACAGAGGTCCTGCCTTCCGTCCTCGAGTGGCCCCATTTCCTGAACTGCCCAGAAAGTAAATGCAGATTATGAGGAGGAAAACCACTGCGGTTGTGCTATACCCTGAGACAGCTGAGGATGTTGTCTCATCTTTTTGGCTTTGTTTTACTAATTCCTCCAAGCTTAGAGCTTTTGGGGAAGTAGGTAGCAAGGAAATAGCTTAGCTCCTCTGTTTTGGTGTTACCCATCACCGTTTGTGTTTGGATGGGTGAGAAGCAGCTCAGAAGTCAACTGGGAAATCCCATTGACAGGGGCAGCTCTACCAGCAACACTGCAGCAACCAACAATGCTGCCCAAGGGATGGGATGATCTGGGAAGAGTAATTCCCATTTTCCACCACAGAGCCAGTGGTGGAGGGACACATGAAGCCAATGTGGCTGTGTAGAAAAGGGAAAGCGGGGAAGGGAAGTTGTTGGTTTGAGAGCTGACAATTACACCATGCCTGGAGGACTGTGGACATCCTGACAGCACGGCCTGAGGACAGGGGTCAGCAATGACGTCCCACGAGAGCTATTCATAGGCAGATGCAGCTGCTGGCCCCACTGAGCAAAGAGTCCTTATAAAGGATGTGACGGAAGTCCTTTGCTTTGTCCTAAGGCATAGTTATGCCCCATCCTCCCTCCCTCCTGCCCTCTGGTTCCCAGGCACTGGCTTTTGAGCCCAGCTGCTGAAACTGCAGGATCTGCCTTCCCTGCCTTGGCAATTCTCCCAAATCTGCACTGGTGGAGAAGGCTGATTTCTGCTCAGCTGAGGGTGGGTGACCAATAGTACGCTTCACCTGACCCAATCCTCCTAAGGCAGCGAGAAGATATTTCCCAAGACATTCAGCCCTGGGTCTGCTCTTTCTGGCTATTTCCTTCAGTCTCCAGCCCGTGAGGACGCTCTTAGAAGGAGGGGGATCATCACTGCCTTTTTTTTTTTCCTACCACTGCTGTGTTGTCCTGCAATGACATTTGCCCTAACTAGGACTTACTCTCTCCCTGTCTGGATGTTTATGTACCAAATACCCGCTTCTCTGCCTTTGTTCTTCAGTTCCCTAAGCAGGAGTTCCTAGTTCTTAAGCAAAACATAGGTAAAGTGCCCCTCCAAGGAGAGAAACCTTGCCATGTACGAGTCCAGAGGGGAACTAGAAATAAACCTCGCTATTTCCAAGTCATTAGTTAGCGATGGCTCTGGGCTGCTCCATCTTCTGTAGCCAAGAGGCACAGACCAGATTTTATGAGCAAGAACCCCAGAGAATGAAAGTTCTGGCTTGGCCAGTGACTGAGTTGTTTTCCAGCCACAATAACACACCTTGAGACGCGGCTGAGGGCAGAGACTCGCAAGGAAGCAGGAGTTTCCTTTTCATGCCCCAGAGAAATCTATTTATTTGACCAGCAGGGCTGAGAGCCGCTCCAGCTCCGCCACTGAGGATCCTCACCACTTTTGTTTTAAGTATTAAACAGCTGGAGGGATGTCTTCACTAAGAATATGTGCAATAACAAAATCATTACTCTCCCTAATTATGCTCGCTAATGTGCGCCTCATGGCCGGAAGACCTATTCCAGATTACTGAATTTGATGAATTTATTAGTAAGGAAGCAGAAGAACAGGATTAGAAATCCCAAAGGTATGGTATTACATAATGCTCCAGGTTCATTTATTTTGACAAGCTTAGTTTGGTTTTAATTACTTATGATAATGAACTGAAATGCCTTCTCTAGGCTGTTTTGTATAAGTAATGGAGGCTTCCTGAAGTACACTGCATGCATCTGCTGCAGAATGTCTCCTTAGGACTTGGACAAGAGACAGAGTCCTGGGGGAGGGCGCGGGGATGTCACTAATTCCCAGACACTAAAAATACCCACGGCAGTACTGGAGAATATACTGCTAGATTACAGAGCAGGGGCTGCTCCTTGTGCTGCATCCTTAGAATGATTCCCAGCACACAAATGGTGGAAAAATATTGGAAAGGAAGGAAAAAAAGAAGGGAAAAGAAATAGGCAAAAATGAGAGAATGCAAAGGAAAAAAAAACAGGGAAAGCAAAGAAATCCAGGGAAAACCGTAGAAAACAAGGGAAGACCATGGTGAAGGGGGAAATGCAAGGGTAAACAGGTTGATACAAGGGAAAAGAGAGGAAAACAAGGAAGAACAGTGGAGAAAGAAGAGAAAATGGGAAAACAAGAGCAAACAGGTTAAAACAGTGGAAAATAGGAGAAAACGGTGGTAAACAGTGAAAATAAAGCTAATACAACAGAAAACAGGAGAAAACAGCAGAAAAGAAGGAAAAAATGGAAAAACAATGGAATGCAAAGAAAAAGTCAGGGAAAGCAAAGAAATACAAGAGAAAACAAGGAAAGATCATGTAATACAAAGGTAAAAAGTTAGATACAAGGGAAAAGGGGGGGAAGCAAGGGAAAACAGTGGAAAAAAAGAAAGGAAAATGGGAAAATGAGCAAACAGTTGAAAATAGTGAAAAATAGGGGAAAATAGGGGAAAACAATGGAAAATAGGAAACGAAGAAAAGGAAAAACATGGATAAACAGATGAAAACAATGGTGAAGAGTTGAAAACAAGGGAAGATAAGTGAAAACCAAAGAAAACAAGGGAAATGTGATAAAAGGGTGGGAATCAAAGGAAAATGTGGGGAAAGCGCTAGAAGAAAAAGGATGGAAGACCTTGAGATGGCCAAAATGGAACCATCACAAATCAGTTGTGTCTCCCACAATTTACCTAAAAGTCATAGATTTGACTTAAGATAGTTTTCTGTATTGCTTCTTGCTGCAAAGCTGCTCTCTGTGTTCTCTAATGATCCGTGTTCCACTGTGTCTTGTCACTTAGGCCCTGATGAAGACCATATGGCATTACTGCATCATCGTGGTGCCGCTGGTGTTTGCCTTTAACGTTCAGGGCACCATCACTGACAGCATTCTCACCAAGGCCGTGCCCTCCTCTGACACTGGTAAGTCTCATCACAGTCATCAAACTTGTCTTTTTCCCTTCTTTGGGTCCATCAGGTAGTGGTGTTTGAACAATGCTGAGAAGGCGTCTTGCTCCCGGGCCACCAGGCACTGGGCACCTTCAGCACCATTTGGCCTGCACAAGGTGAGGTCCCCAACCCAATAGGCATTGCTCTTCATGAGCAGTTCCCTCACAAAGCAGACACTGAGTCCAGTGCCATCATCCCTAACTCAGCACGAAGCCATCTGCTTTACCTCTCTCCCCTTTGGCCATGTTTCTGTGAACAGTCACTGCATTTCTCTGTACGCAGGGGCACAAATCTTCACACATGCAGTATTTCTTCAGTCGACAAAGATACTTCCATGCTTCAGGATCGTACTGAGAATCAGATTTAGAGTCCATTAATGAAGTTTATAAAGCACTTTGGAGATGCTTCTGGATGAAGAGCTTTTCTAAATGTCACTCCAGAAGTTTATTTGTAGAATTGAAGATTGCCTCTGCTTGTCCTTCATGGCAGGGGAGTTGGGCTAGATGACTTTTAAAGGTCCCTTTCACCTCAAATGATTCTATGGTTTTGTTATGAATGCTGGGATCCCGCAGCGTTAAGGCACAGCGCTTCCACCTGAGAGAGAAGCCCTGGGTCTGCATGGAGGCAAGGGATGGGGTGTGCCGGGAGCAAATCTGCTGCTTCATGGCTTGGAGTAGCACTCATCAGGGAGGGGGAATGTTGGAGGAAGGGCACCAAGGGGCTCTAGGGCATGAAGCAAGGCTGGAACTCATCCAGATTCTGCTCAAAGGGGCTTTGTGAGGAAAAATGGAGCATTGCTCGGCTGTTAAAGCCAGCCTAGAGGCGAAATTCAGTCAGAGAGGAAAATGGGCTTAGTTGCCTCACCCTGGTCCTCGCTTGCGTATGTTGTTACGACAGGATGGGATGGACGCAGATGGGCGGGATGGAGACAGCCCATGGGGTGGCAGGAGGACATTTTGGGTCACTGGGAGGTTATGGGCTCTATTGTGCCCATCCATCCCAGGCTGATGCTGTGCCACGTGCTCCTGGATCAAAACCAGGTATGATGAGGAGGGGCACAGCTGGCATGGAGGATGGCAGCATTGGAGGAAATCCATCTTCATTGGTCCTTCCTGCCCCTTATCCTTACGACATGCTTCCTCCTCTCGGTGTTCCCCAAGGAGGAGGCTCTGTTCCCAAGCAGGACAGGAATGTCTGACACAGCAGAGCCGTGGCCCTGCAAGCTGCCTCCCTGCAGCAGCTGTGGCGTGGGTGTCCCTGGGGGCAGTGCCACCATGCAATGACACTCCAGCACAGGAGTACTGCTCCAAAGGGACGGCAGTTAAAGCTCCTTCCTCTGCCAACCCGAAACTGGCTCTGCGGAGGACCCATTTAAGGCCACTCCTACAGAGGCTGATGAATTCCACAGAAGGAAACAGAGTGAAATGATTTCATTCGTTTCCCTTTGATATTTTTTTCCCTCCCCATCTTCAAAGGCAGGAAGGGAAAATGTTGCACGGCACACATGTGTGCTGCTCCACTGGGTGTGTGAGCTGGTGGGAGCACAGCCCCAAGCCAAGGCGGGCCCACAGCCACACAAGCACTCCTTGTCCCCTGAGAATGGGGGTCTTGTTACTGCTTTATGCATGGAGGCAGGGAGGAAGCAGAGCAGGGCAGCATCCTGGACCTATATCTCGTGATTTGATTTGCACATCAGGCACAAAGCCTTAGGAGAAGAGCCTGCAGTGAGGCTCAGCCACCATCCCCGAGAGGAGAGGAGAGGAGAGGAGAGGAGAGGAGAGGAGAGGAGAGGAGAGGAGAGGAGAGGAGAGGAGAGGAGAGGAGAGGAGAGGAGAGGAGAGGAGAGGAGAGGAGAGGAGAGGAGAGGAGAGGAGAGGAGAGGAGAGGAGAGGAGAGGAGAGGAGAGGAGAGGAGAGGAGAGGAGAGGAGAGGAGAGGAGAGGAGAAGAGAGGAGAAGAGAGGAGAAGAGAGGAGAAGAGAGGAGAGGAGAGGAGAGGCTTTTTTACTGGTGTGATAACTTGTTACTGTTAAAGTTCTGAAGTTGACTGGGATCCATCACATGAGCTGCTTGGAAATGGAGCAAGGGCTGATTTACAGTGTCTCAAAGCTCCGGGGCATCCGACACGAGGGATCTAATTTAAACCCATTAAATAGAAATTATCTTTCTCAGCAATGTGTTACAGGCCTGCTGAGGAGAGCCCAGCCTTTCAAGAGGACGGATTTCAGCTCAAAAAAAAAAAAAAAAAAAGTGCCTCCTCAACCATGAGAGCCAGTTTGGCAATTGCACGTAGTAATTAGTTTAATTCAAATACCTAGAGGGGAAAAAAAATAATTGCAAAACCTGCCCAGAAAGTTTGGTGGTTGTGGGATTGTTCCCATTGGCAAAGGGTCAGGCTGAGGTCCCACCCATCGCTGTTCCCATGTGCAGGAGGAGCTGGGCAGCTCTTCAGGGAGACTTCCCTCTCTGTATGTCACACCTACACCCTCAGTTTGGGCTCACTGCACAAGTATTTTAAGCATTTTTGACAGAAGTGCAGCAGTTGCAGGCCAGTATGGCATCAACCCATGTCTGCCTGTCCTCCCTCCAAGCTGGGATCATTTCTCCATGGTCACCATATAGGTAGCACACTGGGATCCATACCTTTTCCTACAGCTTTTCCCCTCTCCTGAATGCCATAGGTGGTGATTCAGTCATGTACTGGTGAAAAATTGATGCCAATAGCTCAGAATTGGTAGTAAGAATAATGACTGAGAACACCATTTCCAAGCAGGACCTAAGTTCCTTACCCATACTTAGTGTGGGCTAATGGAGTTCTGGCCTGCATGGTGAGAAGCCTAAAGTCGTGGCTGCATCCCGTGTGACATCCTGGTGGAAAAACCTGCCCTTGCCCCAGTGGAGGTGCTTCCCTTCCTCCTGTTCACCATGTAAATGCATGCTCTGCTGGAAGGAGAACCGGCCAAGCCAGGTGAAAGGCTCCCATTGCCATCCAAATGGAAACATCCACTCCATTTGCAAGGCTGTGTGATCTCACAGGGGCTCAGAATCTTCTTCTGCTTTTAGTTAGCTATTCTTACAGATGTAGTTAGACCTTTCTAGCTCCTGATACACTCCTAAGTGTCTATTTTTCTGCTCCATGAGAGAGAATACATAGCAATAGCTGGTTGGGTGGGCTGGGACCCTTAGTTGCCCACAGCTGCTAATTATGATATTGAAAAGAATTGCATGCTTTTCTTTGGAAGGCTTCAGAGTGTCCCTGAAAGCTGCCCCCATCCCACTCCACCTCACCCCATCCCATCCCAATGGGTTCAGGAGCATCTCCCAGTGCCAAAGGCTCCCATTGATGGTTTGAGGCTGCTTCCTACCGCAGCAGAGGGAGGCTACTAACCCTCATCCTGACATCTCTGCTATCTCTCCTAGGGACCATGCTGGGGATCTGCGCCTCTGTCCAGCCCCTGACGAGGACGGTGGGCCCAACCCTCGGTGTCATTCTGTACAAGCACTACGGAGTCTCCTCCTTTGGCTACTTGCAGCTCATTGTCAATCTCGGTTTGTTTGTTTATCTCTTAAAGAGCAAAAACCCACTGAGAGAGACAAAAAGCCACTAATTCTCGAAAGCTGCCACTTCTGTTTTTCCACCGAAATAAAGAAAGGAACGTTGTTGTATGTTCTCGGGCATTCTTGTGCTGGAGGCACAACCCCACACTGAGCCCCTTCTGCTCTCACCGCAGGCTGCTCATAACTAAATACCTTGCAGCTGCCTCCTGTCTCCTGCAAGAACTAACTGATAGTGGCAGCAGGAAAGTTACCCAAAGGGAATTACCAAGCTTGAAGCATTTGCAGAGAGCACTTTGCAACCCTGCCTGTCAGTGGAGCTCAGCACTGCTGGATGCTCTTGAGCGTACAGGTCAGTTAGTAGGCATTGAGCCTCACAAGACAAAACTTCAACAGGTTGTATTCCCCTTTCCAAAAGAGCACAGCTTCTTGGACTGCAGGAAAAGAGCACCTCACTCATTCCTAGGCACTATCATTATCTAGAGCTGGGGCCAGGCACCAGCAGGCATAACATGGTATGGTTACAGGGAGATTTTGTGCCTCCTTTAACTGCCATTATTCAACTATACAGGAAAATATCCCAAAAAAGCCCTGATTGGGCACACAGAAGGCTCCTGCATTCCCTCCCTGGCCCTCAGTGCGTTTTTCCTCCATGCTCTCCCCCTGCAGATGGATTATCAGGGGCTTCTTCACCCCACAGTCACGTCCAGGCCACTGCTGCCTTACAGCCCCCACACCACAAACAGCACCCACAAAAATCACCGCACCGCCACGTGTAGTAATAAAAAGTGAACATTTCAAGTAATTTATTTGGAATGGACATATTAATGCAAAAGCAATATTAAGACCAATAACTGCTGAAAGACATTCATCAAAATAAATACAAATATAGATACTACAAATAATTTAAATTGTGTCAAACACCACCAGTCAGTGTTGAATCTTCCTTGCGTCTCATAAATAGAAGAGAACCGTTCGCGAAGCCGCGCCACCCAAAGCACGTGGGCGCTTCGCTGGAAGTCCCGTATGAAAGTCTTTGGTTTTTTCTTTTTCAAAATGCGTCTCAGGCAAAGCTCAGGGCTCTTTGCTCAGCAGCCTCCACAGGCCTGGAGAAAACCAAGCTGCTCCCAGCTATCTTCCGCGCTTTCCTTCATTGGTACCCTGTCCCTTTTCAGACCAAGACAATTGCTCTGGTTTACCATCCAGCAGTACGCTCTGAAGGCAGCAAGAGGAAGCAGGTTAGTTAAATGAAAGGGCAGGGGAAGAATTAAAATAAAGGGCTCTGAAGGGACAGGAAGCACTCAGCACTCATCGCGGCATCTGCGGCGTCTCTATAGGGCGTGCGGCAAGGAAAGCGCTGCTGAGTGCCATTTCCTACCCCGATAACTCCCCGGCACAGACACGTGTCTGCCTACCGCTCAGCATTCCAAGCACTGTGCCCATCTCCCACTCGGATTCCCAGCACGGGGTTCGGGAAGGGGGAGCGAGCCCCAGGAGCTGGGCACAAGAGCTGCAGGCACAGCACACGCTGCGCTCAGGGTGCCGCACCCGGCTCTGCGCTGGGAAACACGAGGAGCGGCCGTGGGAGCCCCACTACCTCGCTGTGGCACCCAAAGCACGGTGTGTAGGGGATACATAGGTAAGGATTGTTGTGCAGGAGTTAGAGGTATCTCTGTGGGTTTGTTAGAGGGGGAGGAATGGGGGTGTGAGCTCACCTGGGGGCTCAGGGCGCCCGGGCCAGTCGCCGCTCCTGGGTGCCCGCTGCCTGCTCCATCTCCTGACGGCTCTTGAAGTCCTGGATGGCCCTCTTGTTCTGGAAGTCGATGAGAGCCATGGTGATGGAGGCGTTCCAGCAGCTCTGGTCCGGGCACCGAAAGTCAATCTCCTTGCGGTCTTTGGTGACAATGGTGAAGTAGATGTATTTGCCCGTGCGCTCCACGCAGTCCACCTTGAGGATGGAGCCGAAGCCCAGCTCCTTGCCCTTGGCCCGCTTGTGCCCGTCGGGGAAAAGGCTGAGGCTGTCCTTGGTGAGCACTACCAGCTTCTTCTTCCACAGCTGGAAAAGGCTGTCGCTCCGCTTCTCTAGCTCGCCCTCGCGGATCACCTCGGCTTGCATCTTCATCCTCTCTCCCTCGTTCCTTCCCTCGTCCCTTCCTTCCGTCCTTCCCTCGCTCCCTCCCGGCTCCAGCTCCCCGGGCTGCGTTGCTCCCACTGCGTCTCGAGCGGCAATGACTGAGCCCGGCCTCGCCGGGACCAATTTATTGCAATGATTCAGCGCCGGGCGCCTTCCGGTGCCTCCCCCGGGAGTCCGCCCGCCGCCCCCTCGCCGCTCCGCCTCTCGCCCGCCTCCGGCCGCGGTGTGCTCCGCTCCGCCCCGCCGGGATGGGACCCACTGAGAGCGGAGCCCGATCTGTAATGCTGCGTGGGACGCCAGCCTCGCCGTACCCTCGTGTCTGTGTGTTTCCGTGGTGGGGATGGGGTGGCTATGACGGACCCCACCTTGCAGCTCGTCTCCTCTCCAAAGCACGCCCAGTCCCAGTGCCATCTCCCCCCCTCCCCAGAAGCCCCCAGAAGCCTGGTTTGGACCCCAGCCTCTAATGTGGGTCCTGGCCAAGCGCGTTCACTTCAGCTCCACATCCATGCAGCATCACCACGAAGCCTTCCCTCACCTTCTCCTTGGGGTAGCCCACCTACACAGCTCTGCAGCAGCACTGCCCACCCTTATCGTTCTCACTGTCCCCTGCAATCACTCTGTTTACCCCATTTTCTCCCTCTTGACCCACTCCCTCTTCCCAGTCTCAGTTCCATCATTTCGTAGGGTCTGACCATTGCACACCGCCAAGGGGCCATTGGGGAAAGCAACAGCATCAAGAGGTGGCACCCAGCAGCACTGGCATCCCTTCCTCTGTGCCACACTGATTTTGCCACTCTTTACAACACCCTGATCCAGCACGATAGCCAGCAGCAGCAATTTATCTAACTTTAGCAAGATTTAGCTTTTCCTTGCCAAAGGAATGGTCCAGATTGACACTGTCTGGACAAATACTCTGGCCACTGAAATGTCAAAATTCCTGCCCAAGAGATTCCATAAGAATAAGGGATCTGAAGCAGGTAGGACCAGAGACAGAGCCTAAGTTGAGTTTTCATTATTATTACTGTTATTATTATTATATCATTCTAAAAAGGGCTCCAAAATGCAGCGGGGAAGGGTCTTTGTGCACAGGAAATGGGACACCACTTCAAACACAGCAATCTGGCAGGAAAAAAGGAGAGCTACAAGAAACAGCTGCAGGAAGGCCCCCGGTCTGGAAAGCTACAGGACGTAGCATGTCTGTGTACACCTTGCTTCAAACGGTCCGGAGCAAAGCAAAATCTGCTTTTCAGTGAGGCTCACACCTGCAGGTGGGGGTCAGCAGCCCCCTTTGGGGTTCGTCTTCCTGCTTTGGCTTTCATCAGGGTGATCTGCACCGAGCCATGGGGAGCACAGAACCTTTGTTGCCACAGCCATCAGTGTGTCTCAGCATGGGGGGAAAAAAGAACGCTCAAAAAGTGTAGATAAAAAATGGGTTCTTGCAGCACCAGTTCTGGTTTTCATTGTATGTCCATTATAAGAATTCTCCTTCCTTCTACATACATTGGGCTTGCTACACGGATAACCACAGAAAAGAAAAGCCCAGTGCATTAACATACCATAATTTGCTGTCATTTGCATTGTGGCCGTGCAAAAGTTGCACAGAAATGGTCTTAAAGCAAAGCAATGGTGACATCAACTGCCCTCAAACCAGGCAGCTCAGCTTAGGAAAAGAAGAAAAGTGTCTGCATTGCCTTTAAAATAATATGAGTTAATGAATTGGGTGAGGAATTGACCAGGAGTTAACAGCTCTTGGCACCGGAATCTAGGAGAAGCGTGATGTTCCCAAGCACAGTTTGACTACACGTGGGTGTCCCTTACTAGAATAAAACAGAACTGAAGCAGCATCCACATCCATCTCCCACCTGCAGAGTCCAGCAGGGTGCCTGCCACCTCCCTTTACAGTTTCCCTCTCCCAGCCCACGAGAGGCCCTGTTGCTATGTGTCGTGGTGCAGTGCATGCTCCACAACTGGGCTTTTGCTCATCGTTTCAGGTTTTTGGGTTTGTGTATCCTCCCGATAGCAGAAGCGGGTTGCCTTAGTTACATGGGTCATGGTGACAGCACAGCAGCTACATGGGTGGGTCTGTGAAGAACACTGCAACCAGGGCCAAGAAAAATGAAAAATGTGTTTTTTTGAATGAGGAGATGGTGATTTATCTCCTCTGCAGCTGCTCACGCACCCTGCAATGGTGTCTCCAGCGGGTGGTAGTGATGCATTCAGCCCAGCCCAGCCCAGCCCAGCATTTCCCCCCGGAGATGCGGGGCTTCCACCAGACACATCACCCCTTGCTCACACCCTGCATGCTATCAGCCTTTCCACTGCTGTAATGTTATTTTTCCCGTTGCTATTTAGCTGCTGTGATCCTAGCAGTGTGTGCAGCCCCTGTGATGGGTCTGTGCTGGGCAAGGACCACAGATTCAGCCAGCATTACTCCTCTGCAGCAGGAAGTGAAGAATTGAGGCCATATGACTTTTTTTTTTTTTATCATAATGATTTCCTTTCCTTTAAACCTGACATCTGTAGGAGAAGAAAAGCCTGCTTACAGGCTTGAGGTTGTAATCCTGCCAGCTGAAGTCGATTAGTAATGGGGAAACATACGCTCTCGCCTCATAAACTGCTGCCTTCCGAGTTTCATTGTTTGTGTCAGAGGGAGGCTGTCCCCACAGGCACCCATGGCAATAGATTAGTGAGCACCAGGTCCCTTGAAATCCTGGATTAAAAAGAGCAACACACAGAATAGCTGCAAACTGGCAGTGTGGGACTGGAGAAACAGAAGTGAGGAACAGCATCTTGTCATGCTTTTCACATATGTTTTTCCTTTTTTTTTTTTCTTTTCATTTTTTTTCACATTTTAATATTCCTTCATACATATATATACGTGTATATAATGTCATGTGAGTATTCCTCAAGTACACTAAGAAATTTAGGGTTATGCTTTGTTATCATCCTTCACCCTCACAAACTTGCTGGTCCAAAC